GACTTTTTAAGCTTGTCATGATAGGTAAGGTGATATGGCCTTGTTGTACTTCTCTTTTGTGTCAAAGTTGGTAAGGTGCTATTTTTCCTTTCTATTTGTTTGCATACGTGGCATTCATACTGTTTAACAACCCAAGAATACTCTTGCTCTTCAGTTAGTTGGTGAGGCAAAACCCGAAGACTTCCAGTGTTTCGCCTTGATCGAAGAGAACTTAACAACATTGATCCCAACCCGATTCCTTCCCTAAAATCCCCATTTGTCATCTTCTTTTCTTTTTTCATTATGCTTATCTAATGTTTTTTTTGTAGCCCTCCAAAAAAAAGGCCACCCATAAACCTCTATTTTAATTTTAATTTTATTTTATTTTCAAAAAAAGTTCAGATCGTCAAGTTATCCAACCGATCCGAATCATTTGAATTGCCCTACTCGAACTTTGAATTTTAGGCTTCAGAATAACTTTTAATTTCCTAATCCTTCATTCTCTCGCTTGTCGCTTGGTGACAGAGCTCATAAAGTTTTACTCCTTTTTGAAAGGATCATTCTTATTGGATATGCAAGCATTTGGAAGTGGCTTAACTATCTCCCATGCCGATGTGCCACCTATTCAAGGTCACCCAACAAGATGAATACGGGGTATTGCTTCTCGTCCATTCCAAACATATCCTGATTTTCATAAGACAAAAGTACTTTTATTAAGTGGGAGGACTGCATTAATTAAATCCAAACACCATATCAACGTCCAATGTATTTCATGTCTCTCTTTAGGATCGTGGCTTGGTTGTCAAGGTATTGGAAGTTTTAACTAAGTTTTTTTTTTTTTGGTGGGGAAACCAAAAAAGATAAATATGGGACAAGGTCTGTCATGTTAGTTGCGAAGCCCATTTTTTTTTTTAGGAAAATAGGGATTTATGTGATCGCTTTAAAGGTTTCACATATATATTATGGAGTTCCTAATATAAAGGGAAGAAAAAACCTAGAAATAAAAAATATAATCAAATCTGGAATGAAGATAAAGATGGGGGCCTGGTAGTCATTTGTACTTTCTCTTTATAAAAGTTATTTTTGTAAAGAGAAAAAATTAGAAGATGCAAGAAAAAATAAAGAGAGAAAAGGTTAGTTCCTTAGTCATTTGAATGGGTGTTCTAGAGAGAAAAAGACCATATTTTAGCGTTTGAGAGAGAGAGCTCTTGTAATCTTTTGTATTCTCCATGATGGCATGATGTTTATTTTGATTAATGGAAGAGAACTTTGTTGTCCCGTGGACATAGGTAACTTGTTGAACCACGTAAATCTTTGTGTTTTTTTTTTTTAATTTTTTTTACTATTTTTCTTTCCTTATTTTTTCCTAAACCTTGGTTTTAATCCTTTACAATTGGTATCAGATCCTTAGGGTTTAAGATCATTGTTGAGTATGAGGTTTGTGGCAGATCGCAGATCCTTGAAGATGATTGAAGGAAGTTCAAAAAGATATGAAATTCCAAAATTTGACGGTTCAGATTTATTAACCAAGAAATTAAAGATGCATGAGATGTTGGTGAAAGATGGTTGTGTAGTAGCTTTAAAAGACAGAGAAAATAAACTTAAAAAGATGAATGATGAGGAATTTGATGAGAATGATGAATTGGTCAGGGCAGATATTTTCTTGGCACTTGATGAGTCTGTTTTATTCAATGTCTCCTTAGAAACTACCGTGAAAGATTCATGGGATAGGCAAAAAAATACTTATGAAAGTATGTCTCTTCGTAATAAAAAATTTTTTCACCGGAAACTTTACAATTCCAAGATGAGTGATGGTGCATCTTTACAATGGCTCTTAAATGAGTTTAGTGCCTTGATTAACAAGTTGATAGCACTAGATGTAAAAATTGATGAAGAAGATAAAACAACAAATATTACTTTGTTCTATTTCGGAATCATGGGATGGATTGATCAAGAATTCAGTAGATGAAATCTCTTGAATTTGATTATGTTGTTTCACTTCTAACAGAGGAGTCTAGGCAAAATTTTGGTCAAGATTCATTTGGGAATGTGTGTCGCACAGGGAAAATCAACAGAGAAAACTTCAAGAAGATAGCAGTTAATATCCAAATCAAGATGGCATAAGAAAGAGAAGTGTTGAAGATGTGGAAAATTAGGCCATGAGGCGAAAGATATTAAGCCACAAAAAGAATCCTGGTACAAGTGGATTGCAAGGAAATCTTATAGAAAAAATTGAGTTTTTTGAAGATAAAGAAGCTTTGTCTGTAGATAAGAAGGAAGTTTTTGCAATATTGGTTACTTGATTCAGGTGCATCCTTTCACATGAATCCACATAGGGATTTGTTCTATAAAGACCAATTATGTGATGGAGATATTGTTCACATAGAAAATAATGACTCATGTAAAATAATGGGAGTTGGAGAAGTGAGCATCAAGATGTTCAATTGAATCATATCCACAATTCCGAGTGTCGGACATGTTCCAAGTCTCAAAAGGAGTCTATTGTCCTTAGTAAAACTTGATGAGCAATGTGTCAAATCTACAAGTAAAAATAAATATTTGAAAATTTCAAAGGGAGCACAAGTAGTTGCAAAATGGGAGTTAGCATGTCATTTGTTTGTTGGTGAAACAATTTTAAGAGAGGTTGATATTGCAGAGGTGAACTTCGGCATGACATGGTATGCACGTTTGGGTCACACGACTGAGTGTGGACTCAAGGTACTTCTAGATAAAAATATTATTTTTGGTTTGAAATCTTTTAATGTAGATTATTTTGAGTCATGCTTATTTGGAAAGCAAAAAAGATTGCATTTTGCTTTATCCACCGCTAAAAGTAAGGAATTTTTAGAATTGATTCATTTAAACAAATGGAAATCACTTGTTGTTTCTATAGGGGTGTTGCAAAATCTCTCTTTTATTGATGATTTTTTTAGAAAAAAAAAATCAGATGCCTTCAGTTGTTTCAAAAAATTTAAGGCCTTGGTAGAAACTCAGAAAGATTAAAGCTTCAAGTGTCTTAGAACATATGATGTGAGAGAATTTTGTTTTGGTGAATTTAATAATTTTTGTAGTGAGCATGATATTGCTAGGCAGTTCACTGTTTATGGAATACCTCAGCAAAATGGTGTTGCTGAGAGGATGAATCGTATCATTATAGAGCGTGTAGGTGTATGTTGAGTGTTCCAGGATTAAAGCAGTATTTTTGGGCAGAAACAGTTCGTATAGCTTGTTTCCAAATTAATAGGTCTCATAATTCTACTATTGACTACAAGACATCAGAAGAGGTTTGGACACGTAAACTTGCTGATTATTTTTTCTTTCATGTTTTTTGGTGTAATACATGTTCTTTGATTCCAAATAATAAAAGAACTAAGTTGGATGCAAAATCCAACAAAAAGTGTTTTTCTTGGCTATGCTGATAATATAAAGAGGTATAGATTGTGGGATCCTACTTACCACAAGATTATAGTTAGTCATGATATTATTTTCAATAAAAATTCCATGCGAAAAAAGAAAGATGAGGCAGATACAAAAACTACTGAGGTAGAATGTATTCATGAGAACCAACAAGATAGTGGTCAGGACCACGAACTTGCAATCATCCAAGAACTTGAAGAATAATTAGGTTATGTTGAATTAAGAAAACCTGATAGACCTAAAATGGCTCATGGGAGTTTTAGCAATTATGTCTTGTCGTATGTTTGTCTAACAGATGAAGGTGAGCAAAATTCTTATCGTGAGGCATGTGAGGTTGAGGAAGCTAGTCAATGTAGAACAACCATGGAAGAAGAGATGGAGGCCTCATGAAAAAATAAAACATGGGACCTCGTCGAATTAACAGAGGAGCGAACGACAATTAGTTGCAAATGCATTATCAAGAAAAAGAAAAGTCTCGATGATGCTGTTGAATGGGACATAGCTTGATTGGTTGTGAAACGTTATGCTAATAAATCATGTATTGATTTGATGAGATCTCTTTCTCATGTTGTGCACATATCTAATGTTAAAATTCTTTTGACATGGTTGTTGTTCTTGATTTAGAAATGAAATAATTAGATGTGTAAACTGTATTTTACATAGTGACTTAAAAGGAAAAAAAATTATGACCCAACATAAGGGTTTTATTGAGGAAGGTAAAGAAAATTTGGTTTGTAAGCTCAAGAAATCGTTGTATGGGTTGCAACAGGTGCCAAGGTATTAGTACAAATGATTTAACTCTTTTAAGTTGAGCTTGAATTTTCATAGATGTGAAGCAAATCATTTGTGCCTATTTTTGTGGTTATGGCGATGGAAATTTTATTATTATATACCGATGACATGATTGTTGTTTGACCAAATAAAGAGATTATTGCAACACTTAAATCCCAGTTGGTTCAGGAATTTGAGATGAAACATTAGGGAGCCGTTAATCGAATTCTTGGGATAAATGTACTTAGAAACATGAAGAACATGAAATTTTGGTTAACTCATAAGAGTTATGTAAATGGGTTCTACGACGCTTCAATACGTAGAATGTCAAACCAGTTAGTATTTCTTTTCCTATATATATGAAGTTGTCTTTGGAAAAATAACTTAGCATTGGAGCAGAGAAGATATAGATGTCTCGAGTATCGTGTTCGTAAAATCGAACCGAAACGGTTAATCGGATATGGGTCCGGAAGTGATTAAACCGGCTTAACCAGTAAACCGGCCGATTCAACCGCTCTAACCAGCCAAGTTTCGAATGATAAAAAAAAATGTTGAAAATAATGAAGAAGTTAAAAAAAAAATCTACTAAAATATGAAAAGCATATAAAGAATGTGATTAAAACAAAACACACTCAAATGAAGTTGAAAATTAATGAAAAAAAATGCATTTTAACGAATCGATTTGTGCTTAAAGATATTTTTAATTTTTTTTTGAAAAAATGGGAAAATATAAAAGTGAGTATCAATGACCAAAATTTTTTTAATCTTTACCATAATGTAAAGAATATTAAAATAGTGTTAAAAAAATCGACTTGACTAACTTTTTTTTAAAAGAAAATGAAGAAAAATTAAGTTATATATAATATAGGTGTTTTTTTTTATCAATTAAGTAGTAAATGACGTATTGGTTAGTGGGTCTGTTAATAGATGTCTTCTTTAAGAGAGGATTCTAGTTCGATTCCAATGGAACAGGATTCGAACCATGATTCATATAAAATTTAATCATGAAAGCTAACCAATAAACCATTCTAATGTATTTGACATAAATTTGAAGTAGTATTTTATTTAAAGTTTAAAATATTAGTTGATGACCAAACCGCTCAAAACCGGAACCAGCCACTGACCGGTTCCGATCTAACCAGCTGGTTAGTGGTTAGATAGGTAGGTTTTGCGAACACTGCTCGAGTAACATATTCATTAGTAGTAGAGAGCCTCATGTTTGCTATGATTAGCACTAGACTTAACATAGCACAAGCAGTGGGAGTTGTGAGCAGATATATGGCAAATCTTGGATATAATCACTAGACTACTGTGAAAGTGGATCCTTTGGTATTTAAAGGGGACTTGCAACGCTGAAATATATTATAATCAAATGGATTTGAAAGTCACTGGTTATGTTGATGCAGATTTTGCAGGTGACTTGGATAAAACAAGATCTACTACATGGTATATTTTTTCTTTAGGAGGTGGTACAGTTAGTGGTTATCAAGGTTCCAGCCTGTTGTGACTTTGTCTTCCACAGATGCTGAGTATATGTCACTTACTTATGCAATTAAATAAGCTATTATTTACCCAAAAAAGAATCTAAAGAAGTAGTTTGGCTAAACAGTGTAAGTGGCGAATTCTGAGTTGTGCAAGAAGGTATCATGCTTTTATTATGATAATCAGAGTGCCTTGTTTTTAGTAGGGAATCCAACCTTTCATGATAGGACTAAACATATTGATGTTTAGTATCACTTCATTCGTGATGTGGTAGAAGATATAAGAATTTTATTGCAAAAAGTCATATTTATGACAATCCAACATATATGGTGACTAAGTTCATAGGGAATGTGAAGTTCATTTGGAACAAGACTTCCTTGGGGCATGTAGTTACTTGATGATTAGTAACTAGTGGATAGCAATTTCTTGGAGCAGACTAGTCATAATGAAAACATGTCTTCAAGTGGGAGAATGTTAGTTATGAAGCACGAGTGTTTTTAAAAATAGGGATTTACGTAATTGCTTCAAAGGTTTCCCATATAGTATGGAGTTTTTATTATAAAGAGAAAAAAACCCATAGTATAGGAAATCTAATCAAATTAGGAATAGAGATAAAGATGAGCCTCACATGGTAGTCCTTGGTGCTTTCTTTTTATTCAAGTTATTTTTGTAGGGAGAAATATTAAAAGGTGCAAGGAAAAATACGGAGAGAATGATTAATTCTTTAATCCTTTGAGTGAGTGATCTAGATAGAGAAAAAGATCATGTTTTATGGCTTGAGAGAGAGAGAGAGAGAGCTTGTAATCCATTGTATTCTCTATACTTACATAGTATTTTTTATTAGTAGTGGAAGAGAATTTTGTTATTCTATGGATGTAGGCAATTTGTCGAACCACGTAAATTTTTGTTTCTCTTCTTTTAATTTTATACATTATTTTTTTTCCCTTATTTTTTCAAATCTTGGTTTTTGTTCTCTACGAGTGAAATATATAGGCAGTAGAAAGTGAAATTCATAAATGTCATGTCAAAGCTTCTCAATTGAAGAGGGAAATGCTTATTGATAAGCTGACACAAATATGAAAGTGTCAATTATACGAAGTCCCAATTAGAGGTCTGGTATAAATCCAATATGGAAGGTTGGTGATCATTTCAAATTTTTGTTTTTTAGACATAAAATAGTGGCTATAGGAAATGGAAAGACAATCATTTTTTGGTTTGAGAGACGGATAGGATATGGGTCTCTAAAGGTAGAATTTCCTAAGGCCCCATTTGATTCCCGGGAAATAGGACTCTTGGAGTCTTGTTTCCATGGAAAAAGCCCAAATTGACCTGTTTAGTTTCATCTGAAAACAAAATTGTCATTTCTTGTATCCTCATTTTAAGCAAGGAAATGTCATTTATGTCGCCATAAGGAACCAAACAGGTTAATCTGGGCTATTTCCATGGAAATGAGACTCCAGAAGTCCCATTTCTAAGGAGTCCCATTTCCAGGGTACCTAATGGGCCCTAAATTATTTGCCAATTTGAAGATAAACAATATGGTGACAATAGGGGGAGATCAACAACAATGCTCAATTGGATGCAAGCGTTGAAGAATTCGTATTATATACCAATGTACTAGCCTACTAGTACCTCAACATTAGATATAATCCTCCTTTCATAGAGGAGATCTAATCATATGGGAGATCATCCATATGGAGACCTCTCGGTTAGCCCTTACCACACAATGCTAATTTCAGATAGATATAAAGGAACGGTGTGGTTTCTATAACGTTGCAATCTTAAACAATCCAATTAAGGCGCACCTCCAAATTTTAACATAACATGTAATTTTGGTGTTAAAAATTCTTAAGATTATCTCAAAATCTATTTTCATATATACTTATAAAATTTTAAACTCCAAAAATAGTTAAAATCAAGTCGATGTATAAACATATGAAAATCTTGAAAATTAACGGTCTAGATAATGTGTTGCAAGATGCACTATTTCTGAGACTCAATTTTTTTATTTTACTTTTCATATTGATATATCTCGATGTTGAGATGATCAATTAGAGGGCTTTTCAATATTAAACAACCTTTTCTGATGATTTTTGAGATGCATCATTAATTCTACATTTTAAGGTTGCAATATTATATAACTTTTCCATAAAGGAATTGATCAATGTTATTAAAGCATGGTTTCGAACAATCCCGACAATTTGAGAAGAAGATGTTTCAGTCTTCCCAATGTATTCCTTTTGTACAAAAATCAAGAAAAATCATGTGATTATTACTTATTTCTCTATCCCACCATGGTGGGACAGATCCGGTGCAGAGCTTTGAAGAAATTTGAGATCTAATGAGTTATTCCCTAAATGACTGGCCACTTCATTGCATAATGGACATGCTCACCTTTTGCTAACATGGAATCAATTTTTGGAAAGCATTGTAAGTACAATCTTATGGGGGATTTGGAAAGAGAGAAATCAATTGAAGGAGCAATTATGAGGACATACTCACCATTGTAGTTGAATGAGTATTAGTGAACATGAAATGTAGGGTCATAGCAAGGCATGATATCATCTACAATTTTAAGAAGGTGCCTTTATGAGGCCAACCAGAGGAGCAAGATAAAACTAACAGTAGTCACCACTACATGGAAGTGTGAAGCTGAATTTTGACAGAAGCTCACCTATGAAAGCAAATATTAAAGGCCCTATAATAGATCATAGAGGCACTATGGTGACTACTTTCTTTGGGCGATGTCGCAACCTTAGTGCTAATGAAGCTGAAGCTAGAGAACTACAATAAGGTCTAAAACCAAAGCTGGCCAAGAGAAATTCATAAAATATGATAAGGTAGTGTAGAGATGAAGCCAATTTCTCATGGATATTAATGCTAATTATATGTAAGATTAGAAACACGTTAATGGGAGTATGCCATTCAAATTGTACACTGCTATAGGGAGGCAAGGGCTAGCAATGCATGGGACAATCTCAACCTCAGGATTGGTAGTCACCAAGTTCAATTTTATTTGACTTGTTCTCTTCTTTTTTCTTAGTTCTAATTATATATGTATTTAGATCGATCAACACACATACTCGAAACAAAAACATCACCGCAGAAGCATCTTAGGTATCATTAATAAAAAGAATAATGTGTATAGTGTACTCCCTTGGGAGCATATAATACACTTTCTCTGATGGGCAAAATAGCTACTTAAAAAGATTTTTTAAATTCGAAATTTCGTGATCAACTTTAGAATCACTATATAAGAATTTTCAAACCGAAAAAGGGATTTTGAGCCCCTAAATATTTAGATATATTTGGAGGACCTCTTTTCATTTTAGAAATGTTATTTTCTTAAGACCATTATGGGGTGCTTATGATTATTCTCCTTTTTTTTTTTTTTGCCATTCTTTGAGGTTGGTCCCTAAGAGAGGAGTATATATGATAGAAATAGAAGATATGCTCCCACAGGAGCGTCTAATCTTTTGGCTAAAAATAATAAGGAAACCACATCTTTGAATAATATACAGTAAAACTATTTATTTTTGGTATAAGGGAATCATAATCATGATGGTTAAATGTGAAATAGAGTGGTTAGGGGTATGTCATTAACTAGGTAAAAAGTTTAAAATATAAATTTTCAAACTACATGACATATTTTCAGTTGCCAGATTTTACACCTGATAGCTAGACTTGATTATGATGTCTCCGTATAGTCTAGTACACGATCCCAAAAATCAAAAGGGAAACCCAAAAGTAAATGGAAAAGTTATATAAGGTGTCAACCTTATAATGTAAACATAAGGCACGCCTAAAAAAGATCCATAAGAAAAGGATGTTTTGACACTGACTAAACCTCCAATTTATCATCTCGACTTCTCGCCTTCGGGATGTACAAATATGAGAAAAAAAGAAGAAGAATATCAAGTTCTAAAAATGATGCATCTTGTAACACATTATCTAGACTGTCTGTTTTCAATATTTTCTAGTATTCGTATATCTGCTAGATTTGTACAATTTTTTGAATTTGAAATTTTACAATTATTTATGAATTTTAGGTCATCATTAAAATTTATAACACTAAAATTACATCTTTCAACAAGAATTGAAGGCACGTTATTTGAAGAACAATTGTTTCATGCGGGTTGGACCGTAGTTCTACAATATGCGGTCGAGAGGTATAAAGCATCCATTTTAAAGATGGATGCAAATAGGCGGTCAATCGAAAATATTTGTAACTAACGGTCTAAATATTTTTTTAATATAATTATTATTTATAGTTTTCAATTTTTTTTTACATATTCATGATCTTCATGTTAAAAATTATATATTCCCTAAAAATTAGGATCAAATTATTTTAAAAAATATATTTACTGTCAATCCTGCCTTTCTACATGCGCAGGCTTGAACGCATGCTGACCGCGTCCTTATTTGAATTGTTTAATGTGAGTATGTTATGCAAAAAAACAACCACAATTAAATGAAAAGTGTTTGGTGAGTCAGCTGACTCATACTAGTCTTGTGCGATCTCCCTACAAAATATATTTATAAAATATATTTTCAATTTAAAATTTTAGAGTTCAATAATCTCAACCATGACAATGATATAAAATTACAAATTTTATTTTTAAAAATATATAAATATTATTTTTTAATTCCTTTTCTTCACCGTCCATTTTAACTTTTAGTGGATGTTACATCCATCTCGACATTAGATAGATAAGGGGTCGCATGGTAATACTTGAGTCATTCCCAAAGCTACAAGATATTAAATCCCAAATCAGGGGCATATATTATTAGATTCCCAATCCTCTAAGTTACAGAAACTTGGGACGAAGGGGTACATCCTCTTCCTGGATTAAGCCTCGCTCAAAGGCGGTCCAGCTTCTGTGAAAACTCTATCTCTCTCTCTCTCTCTCTTTCTCCTCCTGGATTAAGCCTTGCTCAAAGGCGTTCCAACTTTTGTGAACTCTCTCTCTCTCCCCCCCTTCCTACGCTCTCTATCTTTTTCCCAAAACATTATCTTTTAATTCTGTCTGAAAACCTTTTCTTCTCTGCTAATTCTCTCACTAAAGAAACCATGTCTTCCCCAAACGTTTGGGTTTTGATTGGGTTGGGACTAGCTGGTATCCTTCTCATGACTAGAAGGTTTAAGAAGGCCATTAAGGAAGATTTTGGTGCTTTTGTTATGAGGCTTCGGCTTCTCCCTCCTCCTCAACCTGCACCTCCTAAAGCTCCCCACCCCTTATCTGCACTATCCTTTGCAGTTAAAGACATGTGAGCTATTCTCCGTCCTTTCATTCACTTATTGTCTTCTGTTCTCAGATGTCTATATTTTTACTTGTGGGGATTTAGTAGTTTGTGGAAATACCTTGGGAGAAGGTTTTTTAACTCTCAGTTAACATTTTCCTCAAAAAAAAAAAATTCTTCATCAATTTGAAGAGGTTTTTGGTAAAATTTAGTTAAATATGGACATATATGGAGAGTGTTGATTTCCCTTTTCAATATTGAATAGGTTTTAGGTGAAATTATGTGAAACAAGTATTTTAACACTTCATCTATTTGTTATAATTTTACACTACATTGGCATATTAAATTCTTTATACATTGGGTTCTTAGGTGCATGTTTTAGGAGCTTGAGTGATGCATAATTGAGCCAATTCTAGTTTTTTTTTGTCAATTTCCCCTCTCTCTCTTGGTTTTATGAACCCATTGTAGAAACGAAAATCAATCTACGAAACAAGAAAGAAGAAAAAACACAAAAGAAAGAGACAACCAAGCACAACGCAAAGATATATGAAGTTCGGCAACCTACGTAACACCCATATCATCAAAAGAAGTTATCTATATCAATATCATTATAATTACATGGCTTTCAATTCCTATTAACATCATCGATGCCATGGACATTAGGTCTTGGGGACTCTCTTTCGTGCTCACTATTTCTCTGCTTTTTCTTTTTGCATGAATTCTACACTTCTATTTGTTATCTTAATCAGTGCTGCACTTCTATTTATTATCTTAATTAGTGCTCCAAAAAATGCCGGGCGGCCCCTAGGCGGTCGGGGGTCCTGCCCACCTAGCGCTTAGGGGCCGAGGCGGCCGCCCATAACTTGGGCAGTCTAGGACCTGGGTTGAAGATGAGGTATGGGCGGCCTAGCACCTAGGTCGAAGATGAGGGTAGGGGGCAAGGGAATATGACATTATAAAATATTGAGAATACTATAATCCATACTAGCACAAACAAAAACAAAATATAATAGTAATCAGTAAATTAGTAATACAGGCACAATCCATAATCCATACTTTATAAACCATACTCCATAGTTCATATCATTCCATAACCTGTATTTCCCGATACAACCATATAAGCATACACATACGTAAGTGTAGATAGTAGAAAGCTAAAAAACAAGAAAAAGAAAATATACAGTCTAACACTCAACACCTAGAGTCAAGTGCCTTTAGTCATCATTAGAAAAGTAGGGTACGCCTCATCATATGCATACCATCATCATCGAAGTCTTCTCCCTCTTCAACTTCAACATAATGCTCGTCCTCCTCTGTTGCTTCTGAATCTGCCTTTTCCTCCTCTTCTTTTACCTCTTCTTACTTTGTACGGATGGGGCCCTAAGAGTCTTGATTGCTCTACCTGGTGCCTCTTCACCATTTTCTTGCTTTTTGTGTTTCATTGAACTCAAATATTGCTTAATCTCCTTCTTGGTAACCTTGGTAGCCTCAATAATATTTTTACATGAGGCAACATCTCCTTGAATACCGGCAATGTGTATCTTGAACTGGTAAATACCCCCATTTGTATGCCTTCCATAATAATTACACCTTATACAATTTTTTTCATTCAAATTTGAGTTATGACCATGCTTTCAACCTAGATCACCACTTCTTGAAGAATTTGGAGAAGATATTTCCATATAAGAAGGCTCATTTTCTTCTTTTTTTGGTTTTATTAAATTCAGATATTGTCTAATCTCATCCCTAATAGCTCTAGGAGCCTTTTTACAAGAAGCAACATTCCCTTTAATACTGGTTAAGTGTTTCTTGAACTGGTTAATACCCCCATTGGTATTTTTTCACAAAAATTATACCCTGTACAATTTTTATCGTTTGGTTTGGGGTTATAACCTTCTCCTAACATGGATCACCACTTCTAGAAGAACTAAAAATAGACTTATCCAAATGACAGGGCTTTTGTTCCTGTTTGTGTTTTACCAAACTTATATATTGTTTAATCTCCTCTCTGATAGCTTCAAAAATATTTTTACAAGGGGCAACATACACCCTAATACCAGCTAGGTGTTTTCTTAAATGGTTTATGTCCCATTAATATCGTTTTCACAATAATTACATGTAATCCAATTTTTGTCATTTGGATTTGGGTTACAACCACACTTCTAACCCGGATCACTGCTTTTAGAAGAACCTGAAGAAGACATTGAATTTACAAATAAAATCTCAAATATAAAGATTTTTAACGAGCCTTTTTGCTCGGACTTCATTTTTCAATGTTTGAGATGTTTCCCAATCTCAAATATTTCCCCAAAACCCTCCAATAAGCTTAAAAATCATCAAAATCAAATCCAAACCAAAAAGAAATGTTTGGATCGATTTTTCAGAAGTATGAAATACTCAATCGATCTCTTAGAAATGTAAAAAAGTGATTTTTTTTTAATTTTTTTAAAGTGATTGTTTTTAAACTTTTATGCCACGGTAAACAAAGAGGTTTAGGTCACACAATAACGTAAACCCCCATTTCCCCCTAATTTAGGGGTAAAAAAAACAAAAATGCTCCTCAACAAGGGGCATTTTCGTCCCTCGGTGAGGCGCAGGCCTTGGACGCCTGCCTAGGTGGGTTCCCAAGCACCTAGGTGGCTGCATAGGGACTCCCAGCCCAAGACACCCTCTTGGGCCCCCTAGCCCCCCTAGACACTATGCGGGCTGCTTTTTGATCCACTATTCTTAATGGTTTTTAGTTCAATGGTAGTTTAAATTTTATATAGACTAATTGGATTACGTGCGTTGCACGTAAGAATGAAATGTGAAAATTCATAAAAAAAAGTAAAAGTCCCTAGTGAAAATATAAAAATTAATCATGAATCTTAATAAATTTTAAACATCACACTATAAAACATAAATTCATTAAAAAATTCCTAAAAGATACAAAATTGAATTTCTACTTTGTGGTAAAGATAAAAAAATATTTTCTAACATTCTAAAGTTTATAATAATAGTGAAAATTAGTTATGAATAATTATGGATGCATAATAATTCATAAAATTAAATTTAAAATGATGATATGCAAACTTTAGAAAAAGTTCAAACATTTTTATAGTAAATTCATTAATTTAAAATGAAAAATTTTCATAAGAATTTTTAGTTGTGGAAAGATACAATAGAATAGTAGAAGCCTAAATAATTGGCTTATGAATCTTGAGACCGATCATATTGCATATGCTGATCTGCCCTTCTCGTCACTCTATGATGAGCACGGAAACATGTATCTCTACGTTTATCTTTGTTCAAAGAACTCTTATAAATTGAGTGGTTTCTAGGGCTAAGACCCTTTTCTTGTTATTGCATAGTATTACTAAAAATTTGAATATGCATTGAACACAAATTTGGTAAATCATACAACAATTAATATATGAGTGGTTTCTAGGGTTACCATCAATTTCTAGTTATTACATAATATCACTACAAATGTTAAACACATGCTTAAAATTATTTGGGTAACGTATGCAATGAATACAATATCTCTCGAGGCCTAGCATATTTTGGTAGGTATTTACATGAATACAGATATAATTCTCAGAATAATAATTTTCTACATTAAGATGAAAACTTTTAACATTTTTTCAAATAGAGAAAAAAATATTATCCTAGATAAATATTGCACTACATAATAGTGAACATATCTTATTTGATTTCATGGAAGTACAACATGCATGATGATTAAAAAAAAACAAAACATAATATGCATACACTATATAAAAATGAACATATGTTATTTGATTAGTCCAGGCAAAGCCATTTACTTAACCAAAAAAAAAAGGTATGTTATTTGATTTCATGAAGGTCTAGCATGCATGATGAAAAAGAAAAACGTAGTATACATGCATGGGGAAAATTCCATTGATTTAGTGGTAGTTTTTATGGATGCATGCATAGACCATCATAAATAAGTAATTGGTCAATGGTTTTATCAACAATTTCATTGAATATTATGGCAAACAATGGCAATTTTTTTTTTTTTTTAATTTATTACTACTACCTTTAGAGAGCAAAGCAATGATTGTTTTTGGTTTCTGTGATCAAGAACCTATGGAGCAAGGGGTGTGGAGAGAAAATGTTGGGCTTCTTGATTTCCTGTAGTTGAGAAGCTATTGAAAAACAAAGTGACAACATAATTACTCATGGCACTGTTTAGTAGAATTATTTATTGTTATTGATAAAATAAAAGAAGAACAGATAATCATTTTGTTCTACAAAATAGTCAAACCAATATTTTATTTTCATACAAACCCTACCTATGAGAAACAAAACTTCATCACTTAAAAACCTTATCTATGATATTTTATTGTGTTAGTTGCCGAAAAGCCTCACTCTATCTCTACTCGTACTCTTTCTCTCTCTACTCTCCTCATCTACCGCTGCTCCTCTCTCATCTCCCACAGACTAAGTTTCCTACTACCAACTCCAAGAACTATGGAACCCTAACTCTCTATCAAGGACTCTATCAATGACTCATTATCGACATTTGTCTACAATGATATAAACCACTATAAAAGTAATTAAAACCACCGATGGTATATAATTATAAAACTATAATAATACTACATAATAATAATATAAAAAAATAAAGCATAATATAAAATAATATTGTAATATATTAGTATTATGATATATTATAATATTAAAATAATATATAACTACAATAATATATATCAATATATTACTTCTCTCTCTCTCTCTAAAGGATGAGTACAAATTCTCTCTCCTCTCTCCTCCCCTAAGATGGGGAATGTGATTTACACAATAGGGTCACCTATCCTATAATCTCTATAGCATTAGGGTCCCTTCCTATTTTTGCGACATGTGTTTATCCCTTAACTCTTGTTTAATAATATAGTATAGATAAAAATATATTTAATTGTATAATGGAATCATTATGAATGTGAGTGTTACATAGATGAATACACCTCCATTTGTCCAATTTTTTCATTTGTTTTATGACAAGGTGATGAGCTTTATAATATAGGCTATAGACCCTGGTATCTCTTTTGTTTAGATCAACACTTCACCAGTTGAGCTACTGCTCTGGAGCTTTTTCTTTTGAAGTTTTCCGTATAAGCAAAGTTAAGTATTTTTTTGCCACTAATATGTATTGGATTCTATCATTGGAGGTGGCAATTCTGTTCTCTTATGGGCCTTTTGATGAATGAAAAGAGCTTCCTTTTATATAGGTACCCCCAATTTAGATGCTCCTAGTTTCTCTTGCCCTCTGTGTCATGTCAACAAAGTGTAACATGTGGCTTCTTTTTTTAATTAATAAATACTTGCTATGTTATGGTCTTTTCTCTGTTTATTGCAATAATTTGTCAAAGCTGCTATTTATAAGACCATAATGGTTTTCTTTTATTTTTTTTCAATGGTTATCAGATTCAATGTCAATGGATATGTGACTGGGTTTGGGAGTCCAGATTGGGAAAAGACACATGAGCCTGCTTCATGGACAGCACAAGCAGTTTCAGCTGTTGTAGAGGGAGGGGCCACTTGTGTTGGTAAAACTGTCATGGATGAATTGGGACTCAGGTTAGCCCTTGATTCTTTTTTACTTTGAATTCTAATAAGTGGTGAGATCTGTTAACATTATGTGCATTTGGTTGATAATGGGCATTAATTTCTAGTTGCTGACAGGTACCTTACCCTTCTAAGAAAGCAACTCAAATTTATTTATATCTATTTTTTTTTCTTTGTCTTTTTTTGAGTTACAGGGGACATATTTTTTTATTTTTTTCTTTTAATCACTTCTGTGAGCTATTTCTTGTTTCTTAATCATGTTTTGTGAACCTTTCCCACCTTGCAAATATCTTAATTGTTTCCACCTTTGCAGATATCTTGATTGGGTTCTGTCTGGTAGTTTGTGCATTAGTTAGTGCTGGTTTAGTTTTAAACAACCTGCAAATTGTCTTATTTCCAGTATCAATGGGGATAATGCGCATTATGGGACACCGATTAATGCTGCAGCTCCATCACGGATACCTGGAGGTTCTTCTAGTGGATCTGCTGTTGCAGTTGCGGCTGAACTAGTAGACTTTTCTCTGGGTATGCTTCTTACGACATGATTATTGTTTTTACTGTGTTACTTCTTACCATTGGGATTATATAATATGAGACCACTTATCTTTGTTATAAGTAGGTCACAATTATTCCTAGCCATTAGATGTCAAATTGGATGGCTTGGGGTGTGCCATGATGTTTGAGAATTTGTTTTTTTTGAACTTTGAGTCTAGTTAATGACATGCTTACAACCACCGATTTGACATATGAAGGATAAGAGTGATTGTTACTTCCTTGTGCTAAAAATAAATGGTCTCTTTGTATGCTTTTTCAATTCTATCCAGTTAAGGCTTCCATGCTTTCATTTAGTATTTTGTATTAAGTCCATTATGAGTATTGGTTCTTCATTTTCATATCAGTCACTTCACATTTGCCTTTATAAATATGCACTTCTTGCTTTTGTATTGCATCACTCAATAGAATTGTAATTAACCTTTAGTATCAATTCTTTCTGCGGTTTTTGGTGTTAATAGATTGTTATATAGAGACCTAGTTTGACAATTGTGTTATTTCTTGATGCAAAAGGAGTCCGGGAAATTAAATCCGGTCTTCTTTCGATCTTAAACAAGCTAAAATTCAACAATAATGGAGGAATAATATGGTTGTACATCAAGCCATGGGAAGAAGAAACTCTATTTCTTCGTTCATAAAAAAATCTCTACAAAATATCCAAGCCTAAGTCTCTCTACATAAGCTTTCCTTTTCATACAAGAAAATAAAACCCTAAAGAAGAAAAATATACTAAGCATAATTTTCTTTCTCCCCCTCACGTATCTCTCTCCCCACGTCTCTCTCTTTCCAAGTTAATCTCTCTCTAGATAATGCAAACCGAATAACTTCCATCCCATGAATATAGGAGCCCCTTTCCCTCACGTTATCATATCCATCATCCCATAAAATATTTCTTTAAATCTTTAACTCTCCTAGATCCTCTTTTCTAGGAAAAATCTCTACTCCCACTAAATTAGGCTCTACCTGACTTTCCCATATGATAGAAAACTAACTAAATCAAGAAATTAGGCTCTACGTGACTTTCCCATAGGAATAAGAAACTAACTTAATCAAGATCTATCGTAATCCTAAAGAAAGAGAAATATTGTAAAATGACTACCCATCCCATAATAATATATGAAAATCCTGTTTTAACCCGTCATGCTACCAATTCCTCAAATTTAACCCAACAATCATAAAAATAAAAACATAATAATAAAAAATATAAATAATGGGATGCGATTTGTACCATTTCTAATCTTGGAATTCTATTTTTCTGTTGTAAATTGGAACAAACATTTCCTTTTATGTAAATTAGGAAAAGGAATCACTCAATTTTGAAGTCTTTTGATTCGTTGTTTGCACTGATTCAAATGTATGACTATTGTTCTTTTTAGTGAGGTTCAAGAATCATGAGTGTCTGATGTCTGTTTTGAGATTGCTTTTGATTGGTCTTGCATAGGTGCCCTGTTCCCCTCACTGGAATTCCTTTCTGAATCTTCCAAGGAGCTATAGCTGAAATTAGGCAAACACATTTAGAGCTTGAGAGGACCCTTTTTCTCTATGAGGCCATAGTGAGCAATCACCAAGTGGATTTGCCTCACTTATTCAGTGAGATTAGTTTGTTATCCTCTTGACAGGTTGTCTACCACATAATAGATAAATGTATTTGATTTGTGACCTGACATCACATCCCACTGTGTTCAATTAATTTTTGCACTTGGAGATCCCTTTTTCTGGACATTTCAGAAAAATACGATAATATTTTGGATCGAGACCCAATTTCTAAACATGAAACAATAAAAAAATTGCAAGTACGACCCTGAGATGCATTTGGAGAATAATAATAACCCAAACAAGGTTAAAAACTACTGTTTCAGCAGTAATATTCCATCAAAAATAATTTGGCAGCCGTCAGTAACATTCAATTGAAGAACTTATTTTAATGCCCAGGGAGTGAGATTTTGAATCTGAAATGGATTGTAATTCTGTCCTTCAAGAAGTCAGCCAAACAAAATTGGGTTCCAATCAAGCCTAAGCCTAGCACACAGCTTGAAGCAACGAAGAAGGGCACATGAGAGCATTAGGTCAATTCCGCAAGGATTCCCACAATTTAGCTCTAGAGCTTTGGGTTAATGGGAGTAAAAACTTGGGTTTTGATGGACTTTTGAATGGCGTATGTTTGCTGTTGGGAGAGTCAAGACCAATAAGCTAATAGGGGAAAAGAACAGAGAGAGAGAGAAGAAGAGGAATAATTAGGGTAAGGGCGAAAGAAAAAAATAAGGAAGGTAGAAGAGGTCAAAAGATTTAAGGAGAGAAATGAGGAAGAAGAAGAAAGGAGAGGACAAAAGAATTAATGAAAGTAAAGGGAAAATTGAGGAATACCTTGGAAGGAAGGGGCCTAGGGAGGTGTTGCCAGTTCTTCTATACTGCCCTGACCTAAGAAGAACCTAATTAAAAGATAGACCTCTAGCCCTTGGGCAGAACTCACTTTGGTACCATGGTGATGTATCTAAGAACAGCCGCTCACTGATCAAAACTACTTAAGCTGGCATTAGTAAGTCGAACATTCATTTTGATGAACTTGTTTTAATGCCAAGAGGTGAGGTTTCGCATCTGGAAGGGATTGAAAATTTGTCCTTCAATAATCAGCCAAAGAAAATCGGTTTCCGATCAAGTCCAGTCTACCCTTCCACCCTGAACCTAAGAAGAACGACAAATGTAGCTTTAGTTAAATTCCGGGAGGGGACGCCCCCACACAATTTAGCTACAGGGTTTTGAGCTAGTGGGAGTAAAATTAGTGCTCTAATAGATTTTTTAATGGTGTGTTTTTGTTGTTTGGAGGGTTAATGTAAGGAAAAATATAGACGAAAGAAGAAAATAGGGGAAAAGAAGGGAGAAAGAGAGTTGTAGGGAATAAAAGGGAAAATGGAGGGAAAAATAGAAAAAGAGGAAGATGATAGAAGAATTCAATGAAATAAAACGGAAGATAAGAAACGAGTAGGCAAAAGATTTTAAGGAAAGAAAAGAGAAGTAAGGGAAAAGAAGAGAGAAGAGAAGATTTGAGAATAATTTCGAGGGGAAGGGCCTTGGGAGGTGCCTCCAAGCCTTTCTCTATAGCCTTCAACCAAAGGAATAAGGAAGCCCTTCCTATGTTTTTTCCCCCCCTCAAAAGTTTTTAAATGATAATTGCCAAGGGGCTGGACATCCCTCTTTCCCTTCTGTACATACTTGATTTAAACACAATGACCCAAATATTCCTATTTACAAGAAAATAATAAAAACACTAAACTACTCCTTAATTCTCTTGGTACTGAAAGTCATAAATACCTTAAATATTTAAAACAAATTAAAGACCAAATAACCCAGTTTTACTTTCTCATAAAAAAACAAAAGTTAAAAAAAAAAATTAAAGCCATGATTGTATCATTAAATAGTCTCCTTTTTGCCTCCAAAAGAGAAAAAAATAAAAATAAATATTGAACTAGTCCAAGAGAAGGCCATGCCACGATGGCTGCATCACATTTTATTTTTTAACTTGCAGTTCATCGATAAAACTAAATGACTAGACATCCAAGCTTTTGTAGTTAGACAAACATTGGTGCTTGATGACTTGACATGATTGTACGGTCCCCATTGTCGACATACTATGTCTATCGTTCACCACTGGAGTTGTCACCTGGTCCTGGGTTTCTAGATTGGATCACCCACTCCTACTGAAAGATTGTGAGCTACATAGCATACAATGTGATGTATGTTTGCGTAGGACCTTCCTCATGACAAGTCCTTATTGCTAAGCATTTCTACAAATGATTAGCATCCATTAAATACCAGAGGGAAGATTAATATCTTTTTGGTCAGGGAATGGGATTTGTGGACATTAAGTTCTTGCCAAAGGGCATATCCTGCCTGCGACAACAACTAACCAAACAACAAGATCCTAATGCATATCTGAATGTCTGACACTGTTGCGAGATGTGTTTTTTGTGTCCGTAAAGAAAATCTTTAGCAATGAACTTTTTTGGACTAGAGAATATTTGTGCCTGAACTTGTTTATGGTTAATCTTTGTCAGTTAATTATTAACCAATTCATTAATGTGGTTATGTATATGGCCTGTGGAGCTGCCTCATATTCCATCAGTTCATACTTGGCACAAACGCCTTATTGGTCGTATGCACCAATTGCACTAACATGTTTATGAAGTATGAACTTGTATAATAGTAGTTTTATTGGCTTCATGAAGGTATTTACTGACATTGGCAAAATAATATTCTTCATATAATTGCTTTTATGCTATTTGTTTCTTTGTTGTTGCATGACTTTCTATCATTAGGCTTAGTAGATAAAGAAGGCTTAGTAGATAAAGAACTACCATCATTTGTACCTCAAGAACAAATTTGGAACAGAATTCCAGCAAACTTTGATGGTGACTGTGTAGCTATGATTTTGTATTATGATTTTGTCTGTTTTGAAATCACTGATTCAGCTGCAACTATTAGGTGCTTAACTTCAATGGAAATTTTGACATTTTCTTTCGTATCTACTTTTAAATTAATGTGCAGTTAACCAGAAAAGACAGACTTATTTTTTGTTGACTAACAATAAATAACAGGTACTGATACTGTTGGTGATGTGAGAATACCTGCTGCATTTTGCAGTATTTTGGGGTTCCGCCCTTCACATGGGACCATCTCTATGGTGGGTGTAATTCCCTTGGCGCAAAGTCTTGACACTGTTGGTAAGTTTTTGAGGAGTTCATTAAAATATATTATCATAGTCCACAATTTTAGGTCATAGAACGCAAGTACCCTGCATTATCAGTTATTTTCCATCAATATTAATAGTTTTTGAGGAGTTTATTAAAATTTATTATCACAGTCCACATTTTTAGGTCATAGAACACCAGTACCCAGCATTATCAGTTATTTTTCATCAATATTTTTTAGGTCATAGAACATCAGTACCCAGCATTATCAGTTATTTTTCATCAATATTTTTTAGGTCATAGAACACCAGTACCCAGCATTATCAGTTATTTTTCATCAATATTAATGAAGCTTACTTGCCTTGTCTAGACATTTATGCTTGAGAAATATGCTAGTTACTCGAACTGGTGTGGTGCAGGATTGTTTGCTAGGGATCCTGCTATTCTTCGTCGTGTGGGTCACGTTCTCCTGCAACTGTCATATACAGATTCTCGAAATCCCAGAAATATTGTGATAGCAGATGACTGTTTTCAACTCATAAAGATCCCTGCTAATCAAATCACTCAGGTGGTCACTAAATCTGCAGAGAAGTTGTTTGGAAGTACGTATGTTTGCTATATATTTGAGTATTTTTTGTTCTTTTTGCTTTGAAATAACATTCAAATTTGGTTCTTTACTATTCTGTTGCATTATTTATGTCTCTCGAGTTTAGTACCCTAGTAGATAGGTGCTAACAGCGATGATGCACATGGACTAACACAGGACAAGTATTAAACCATGTAAACCTTGGCAACTATATGGCTTCTAAAGTTCCTAGCTTGAGAAAACTTCCTAACAAGGAGCAGAGAAATGGTGAAGAGAAGAGTGTGTCTTTAAAAGTGCTTTCAAATGCCATGCAGTTTCTTCAAAGGTGCGGATACTAACAGTGAGATGTTACCCCTTGTTGTTGTCTTCACAATATATTACCTTGAAGGTTCTTACATGGCATATGTTTTGTAAGTGAAACATATTTTAATGGGCAGTAGTTGAATCATTCAACTTGAGCTGTGACAAGGCAGTTATAATGTTACTTTTCTTATATCAATATTCTATTTGTTAGCACCTTGTACATCTTAATTTTACTGGCATAGAGTTATAAACTACTGAACTACATGTTGCTATGTAATAAATTGGTAACCTCATGTCACTTAAAATTGGAATTAAGACAATAAGTTCTAGCTTGTCATTTTCACTTAAGACTATCCTTTTTTCCTCCACATTCATTATAGATTTTTATGCAGTCCTGCCTCTCTTTAGGAAGAAGTGTTACATTTCTTCCTTAATCCACCATTTACAAAATTTAGATGCAATTTTGGTTAATACTAGTTCATTCCATCTTGAATCATAGTAATTTGGGGGGCTTGCATATGCTATCTGCTAATGAAATGCACTCTCTTATCATCTTTTCCCTTCTCATAAAAATAGCTTCCATTCACACATTTATTGTCTTTAAACCCTTTGTATATTTGTTATTTGATCTAACATGCTATCAACCACATATGCATCATAAAATAGACCCCCTTGCTTTTGAATTTTACATATTTTCCGTTATCCTTGTATGGGAAAGTGAATAAACAAATTCACAATCTTTGATCTTCCTATGTCTTTCTTGATTTGATGGGACCCTGTAGCTTGAGTGATATGAATTGCCTTGGGCCACTAGACACAAATCTTAATAACTTAATCTCCACAAAAGGTACTAGAATGCTCGATAAAAATCTAATCCAATAAATAAGTTTTTACAAATAAAATAAGATAAATAAATAAATTAGGAAAAAGTTCTTTTAAGGTTGAACAATTGAATTAAGGTGCACCAAAAAAATTCGCTAAAAGATGTTCTTTTGATGCTTAAAAATCCTCAAATCGATCATCTTGACCTCAAGATGTAGGGACGTGAGAAAAAATGGATTTCAAGTCTTGAAAATATAGTGCATTTTGTAGTGCATTTTCCGGAATGTCAATTTTCATTCATAGATCTGCTTGATCTATACTATTTTTTAAGCTTTAAATTTTATAACTAGCGATGGAAATAAATTTTCAGGCCATCACAGAGATTTTCAGTAATGAAAACAACATCGTTTGACACTATTTGAAGGTGTGCCCTACCTTTGATTGTTTAGGGCCTCAGCCTTATACAAACTAGACCGATAAATTATCACATCAATATATTCACCGAGCCTTATCCCAACTATTTGGGGTCGGCTACACAAATCCTGTTTTGCCATTGCGCTCTAGCAAGGGCCATATTTTTAGTCAGACCATAAATCACATATCTTTCCTCACTACTTCTATATCCTTTGGGGTCTTCCCCTTGACCTCTAGAGTCTTGCACTTGAACTAAATCACCCCTTCTAGCTGATGTCGATGCTGCACATGACCAGACTAGCTAAGTCTATTTTCCATCATTTTGTCCCTATTGGAGCTACGTCTAAGTTCCTTGGATGTATTCATTCGGAATTTTATTCTTCCTTGTCTTGCCACTCATCCATCTCAACATCCTCATCTCAGGTAATCATTATATGGATATGTTGTTTCTTGACCAGCCAAACTTTCTGTTTTATAAAGCAAAACTAGTCTTACAACCGTCCTATAGAACTTCCCTTTTAATTTCATCGATATGAAGCGATCACATAAGACTCCAGAAGCACATTTCCATTTATCCACCTAGCTCTAATTGTAGGCAATGTCTTCCTCAATCTCTCCTTCCTCATGGGTTATCAACCCAAGATATTAAAAATAATATCTTTTAAGTACTTCCTGGCCATCAATCTTAATTAATTTTTCATTTGTGGTCCTATTTTATATATATATATATATATATATATTAAAGCATCCCTCCGAAGTTCTAATTTTGCACTTACGCCCTTTCTGGTCTCATCAATAAAAAATATGCCATCCGCAAACAACATACACCGTGGAACCTCATCCTGTAGATGTCTAATTAACTCGTCCATAACCAAAGCAAAGAGATATAGGCCTATGATGTAGGCCTACTATCACTGAAAACTCACTTATCTCTCTATTAGTTCCCATATTAGTTAGCACTTTTGTACATATCCCTAACCATGTTAATATATCATCTTGAGACACTTTTCTTTTCAGCATCCACCAAATGCTCTCTCTAGGTACCTTATCGTATACTTTCTTGAAATCAATGAAGGACCATTTGGAGGTCTTTTCACTTCTCCCTAAACTTCTCAGTCAATTGCTTGAGTAAGAAAACAACCTCAATGGTTAACCTCCTTGGTATAAATCCGAACTGATTTTTTGATACACTCGTTTCATGTCCTAATCGTTGCTCAGTCACTCTCTCCCGCAATTTCGAAGTGTAGCTGATAAGTTCTGTCCCTCAATAGTTCGTACAACTCTTCTATATGTCTCCTTTGTTTTTGTAATTAGGTAACAATGCTTTTCCTCCATTCATATGACATTTTCTTTGTTCTCAAATTCTTGTTGAACAACTTGGTCAATCAAAATATGTCATCCCTCCGTTGCATTTCCAAATCTCTATCGGTATACCATCTGGTCCTAATGCTTTTCCTATCTTCATCTTTCTCAAAGCTTCTTTCGCTTCAGATGTGCTAATCTTATGAAAGTATCTATGACCTCCAACCTCATTATATCAATGATTCTTCCTAATGCTGAGCTTAGACTGGTTATCATTTAGCAATTTCTAAAAATAGATCAATTTTGTAATTTCTACAAATGTTGACTGGAGGAACTCCCAACTCTTATAGAATGGGTTAAGTTCTCGCCCGAAGAGTAAGAACTCAACAGGACCTTACAATTAATATCCTCTTTACTACGAATGCATAACTCTTAGCACGGTCGGAGGTCAAATCCCACTAGTAAACCTTTATTTTAGAAAAAACTAACATCCTCTGATCCTTACTCTTAATGCATTTAACATGATCTAGGTCCGTACACTTCATCTCTATTAGTTTTACTAGTTTGAAGACAGTTTTTTCACATTCTCTGATCTCTAATTTATTGTTATATATCATCATATGCCTTAAGTTTAGACTTAGTATTTTCTTGGTATTCCTCTAGGCATTTCTATATTTTTCTAATCTCTTATCATTTTTATTCCCTTGTCAAGCTTAGTTACGCGATTATTTTTACTAATAGCCTTTTGAACCTCATAATTCGACCACCAAGTTTCCTTTGCTGAAAGTCTTTTCCCTCTAGCTGTACCTAAAACTTCTATTGCTGCTTTCTTAATATAATTGGTTATCTCATTTCACATGGCATTAACTTCGTCCTCATAATTTCATTATCTTTCTTTCATCAATTTATTCCAAGATAAGTTTATTTTCTCCCCTTTTAAGTTCCACCACCTAGTTCTTGGACACCCATTAATGTCACTCCTTTTCCATCTCTTAATTCCAAGTCCAAACATCTATAACCATACGCATATGTTGCATGGTGAAACTCTCTCCTGGGATAACCTTACAGTTTTTATTTGATGATCATTTTGTCTCCTTAGCTAGGAAAAAAATTATCTGGCTTTTATATGAACAACTTTTGTGAGTTATTAAATGTTCATCTCGCTTTCTAAAGTTGGTATTGGCTATTTTTAAATCATAATCCATAGCAAAGTCAGGAATAGTACCACCCATTTCGTTTCATTCCCTTAATCTATATCCTCCATGTCCCCTTACATATCCTGCTCTCTCTCTTCCTACATGACCATTTAAGTTCCCTCTAGAAAATGTCCTCTCTCCATTTGGTATTCTTTGGACTAGTCCATCCATATCCTCCCAAATTTGTTTTTTGATTCTATCCTGTAATCCTACTTGTGGCGCGTATGCACTAATTACATCAATTATCTCTTCTCATGACAGAAGCTTGATTAATAAGAACCTATCATCTGCTCTCTTAATACTTTATCATTTAAATCTTTGCGTACCATTATTACGCTATCTCCATTTTTATCTTTTCCTACAAAGTTTATTCCATCAGTTTCCTCCCCCTCCCCTTTCCACTTAATTTCATGTAAACAAGCTATGTTAACTCTTCATCTCATTGTATCCACTAACTCCATAATGTTACATGATAGAGTTCCTATATTCCATGTGGCCAGGTGAATCTTGTACATGTTCTTTACCTGTACTCATCAAAAATGGCACGGGAACCCTTGTCTACTTATCATTGGAATAGGTGTTGTTGCGGCTCTTTGCTTCCAATGGAGGATTTTAGTTAAGAAAAGAACACCACAAGCTTCCAAAATTTTTTTCCACATGAGCAAAACTAACTAGTAATCAAAGTTCTGAGTATTGTACCAACCCTAAAACCGTAAAAGTTCTCACCGAAATCTAACCTTTCATTCCCTACTAATCTCCACCTCATATTAACTTAATAAGAACTTGAGAAACTAAAAATAAACACAAAACAGATGTCTAGAAGCCCTTATATGAGAATTTCTAAAACCCTATAAACCGTCCCAAAAGGTGAATGTCCAAAGTACCTCCAGAAATTTAGGAACCAAACTCCTTTTCCTTGGCCAGCCTTTTCTTCCCCATTGTGTGAGTCTTCTTGTCTATTGGATCACCACCTTGAACTACACAGTTCTGTAAGAGGATATTTCTATGATATTGAGCTAGTTTTCCAGTATGTCATTTGAAGGAGATGTTATGCCGTGGTTAGACAAAAAGATATGTTAACATGCCTGATGTTCCTCAGATGCAGAAATGAAGCAAATTATTGATATGCTTGTGAATTTTGTACTAGGATTTGACTGTGTAGCCTTTGGACACTTTTTCTCTTTTCTGCAGCAGATCCTAGATGGATTTTCTAAGCTTTTATTAGTAAATAAATACAGTTATCTCAATATTGGATTTCCTTCATTGGAGGTTCTTGTTCATTTCAAAGGGTCGATCATTTTTGCTCCTTTTTTTCTTTTTTTTGGGGGGTGGGGTATGGCAAGGGATTATGCTTCAATGTTACTCTTATGCCCTTTTTGGATTAACATCTAGAAAATGTCTTAGCTATGAGTTTCCTTATTCTTTCTCTTCTTTATAGAACTTTTTACTGCAATTAGCCATTTAATATCAGTAACTCAGATGATTCACTTGTCGAATAGTTTTTATGAGTGGGGGCATTTACTTTAGTTAGTTCGAGTTTCCAATTATGGTGCACTAATATATTGTCCTTGCAGCGGAAAAGAAGGATATTATACTGGATAATTTTATAATTTGTAATGTTGTGTTCTGCTTCCTTCATTTTAATTCACATGTGGCTTTTCTGAAATACTGTTAGAATTGCCCTCCAAAATTTCTATTGATGTTGATTTTATGCCTTGTATTTCAGGTATGAGTTCAAAAAAAATCACGTGGAGTGGAATAAATCAACTAAACCTGATTTAGGTTCAGGAATATCCAATCATGTACAGGCAGCACTAGAGATGGAGACTGAAACTGAAATTATTGGTCACTGCCAGACAGCAAGAAATGAAGCTCGCTCTGCTCTTAATGCACTTTTAAAGGTACCATGTGCCTTGAGATTGTTGACTGTATAAATATATATTCTCCTTCATATTGTTGGTGACTGTGGTATTGAATATTTAAGTAGCTATGTACAAATATACAACACGCATGGTTTAAGAACAGGATCTGTGCGGAATAATTTATATGCAGTGGTATTTGATATCTATATTTTTTTACTGATTCAATGGTGATTAATATTTTGTAATGCCTTTGTAATTTTTTGAATTTTATTCTTCCACGCATGGCTTGTAACCCTAGCATTGGTGGTCCAGTATTCTGAATTGAATTCAAGTCCCAACTATAAGATGGTTATTTGTTATTTCTATGTGCAATGGATTATGTGTGGTTCTGATTACTTGGGAGCAGTTCTTTGGTACGAGTGTAAATAATTCAGCCTTACTATCTATAATGAAACATCTATCAATTATTTCAATCGAACCCTTTCTCAATATGGTAACTGTTGTGAAAAGATGGTTGTCCTATCTGAAACCAATTTCCAACTATTTGTACTGGGAGTGGTTGTTTGATTTTAGTGGGTGTTATTGTTTCTTCAAGAAATCTCACTTTAGCTATGCATAGCCATCTGTTCAGTCACTTACTGTTAGATGCTAGAACTATGTTTACTAGTAATATGAGATTTGCCGTGCTTCTTTAGTTTCAGGGCCAAATAAGGGAAGCGAATCACCACTGTCAATTTGAAATTTTAAATATATTGGAAGAAATTTCAACAGTCTCCAGATATATCTAAAATTTCAAAAAGATACCCATAAGTTTTTGAAATATTTCACAAAAATGCCCTCTGTGTTACATAGTTTCAGAAACGTATCTGTAAAATATTCAAATCGGTACAAAAATTTAGCCTTATACATCTAAAATTTCAAGAAAATGCCTAGTTATATATACATTTTTTAGATATATTTTTTTCTTTTTATTTTGAAAATTGCATTGGAGGACTTTCCTCAAATTTGCAAAGAACCGAAGTTCTTCCATTTCTGGCCAAAATGAAGCCTTTCGAATGAATGTGATAACATTTCTGTTTACAACTCTCATCCCTTTTCCAAGACCAGGTAAAGCTATCTTCTTTACAACATCAATTTTTACAAGTTCATTACACATGCATGTGTGTGAAGCGTAGCTTTATCTGGGAACCACTTTGTCCACTGAAATAAGAGAGGAGGGCCGTCTTCTTTGGACTCTACTTTTGTGTTTTCTTACTCTCCCGGTGCTTCTTGCCAGCTGACCACATGCAGGCATCCAAGACATTCAACTTGTCATTGACCCCTCCCATAGAATCAATCTCCTCCCTAAACATTAGTTTCAGGCGTACTCGTTTTTCCCCATATAAGAGAGAATACCTAGATGCAACCTCTTTTATCTCCTACTTACCAGCTTGAAACTCTACTCATCTTGAGGTGAAATATCTGTATCATTGCGCTTATGGCTGAAAGAACTAAGCTAAGCTGTTGTGGATTGTGCCACAATGATCTGTTTCTTTTCTGTGTATTTATTCCAGCCACAGTCATCATCATCATGACATCATCCAACCCTAATCCCAATTGTTTGGCGTCGGCTTTATTCCAGCCACAGTGTTGCATTTAAATGGCCATTTCAATAATTTTTTTTTATTCAGAGTATCCAGCTTTTGTTCGTTAAGAGACATAATCCAAGATGCGCCCATACAATTTAGTTACAGGAATGTGGACTGTATTCTTGTTCCATTTTGCTACACACGAATGGTTCTTTAGTCTGTTTTTGGTGGACTGAAGGTAAGAATGTCAAGAACTCTTTGTCGTTTCAGAGTGAAACTTTTGATTGATGTACATTTTGTTGCATCTTATATTTTTCTCCTATGCAGTAGTCGTGTGTTGTTTGGTCCCCACATTTAGGCTTCAATTGAGAGCACTCTCCTCGGTGCTAATGTATTTGGTGGAATTGCAGTAGCAGCAGTGTCTCATTGCGCCCATACAGTAATGATGGGAATGGAGAGAGAGGAGAGGGAGAGGGGAGAAGGTTGGCTTGTGGTACTGTTTAATCTAATGCATTTTGGGTGTGTCAAAACCATACCCCATTGATCACGAATACCCCGTTGATCATGAAGACTGTTGTGTGAAATGTGCCCTAATGCATTACTGTCACTTTTCATGGGATGAAGAGATGTTTTATATAGTAATGGTGTTGTGTCAATAAGTTTGTTATGAAACATTAGATGCACGAAAATATCATTTTCAAGGTTTTTGTAGTTGCCATTTGGATGTTGATGTTTGGTGTTGGTGATGACCTTCTTTTGATGAAGTATTAATTTATATTATTACTCGTCTTTGTACTTGTAATCTTCTGTGAGATTTCATCTTAACGAGAAAAAATAGCTTTTCCTTCATGTCTTGTTATATCTTATTTTCTCCTCTTTTCATAAATTTGATTTCTTCTCTCTTTGATGATTCTTCAGGATGATGGAATTTTAGTAATTCCTACCGTGCCTGGTCCCCCACCAAAGCTTCGTTCTAAGACAACCTTGTTGGAAGACTACCAGTCTCAGGCTTTTACTTTGTTGGCTATTGCGAGCATGTCTGGTTGTTGTCAGGTGGGCCTTACCTGCATAATATTTTGTAGGAAAAATCATCGTGTGCCTTGCAAAAGTTTTTTTTGTTTCATTTGTGCGTCTTTGCAACCATTAGTTTTTTCTAAAAATTAGATGTAGCTGAATTGATTTGTATTTTGTCATTCTTGTCTCAATGAATTTGGCAGGTGACCATACCATTGGGATCGCATGATAATTGTCCAGTTTCAGTGTCATTCATTGCAAGACATGGAGGTGATCGGTTCTTACTAGATACTGTGCAAGCTATGTATGTTACTCTTCAAGAACAAGCTGATATAGCTGCTAAGTCCAGTTTGTCACGTGTTCCCATAAGCAAAGAGGAATCTGCAGAAATTGCGAAGGAAAAGGTAACTGCCTCTCTCTTCTATGCCTCCAAATGGAGTAACGGAAAGGACTTGTCCCCAAGTCCTTGTGGAGAAAAGAGACCCCCACGTACAAATTTCTTCAGTCTCATCACCGAGGCAATATCGAGAGATTTATGATTGTTTTGACATGAATCTAAGAAGTTCATTTTGAAAATCTGGAACAAGTCTTTATCAAGTTGAGAGTGCTTTTCACTGGCTGCACTAATAAGTACTTGTGGCTCATTGATGTGGGGTATCCTTGCAATTCAAAATTCTGTTCATCATTTCTGTTTATTGTAAAAATGAAATGTCTCCCTGTATAATCAAATGTGTACGCCAATATTACCTATTTGAATCGCTAGATATGCATACTAGTTTGTGTTCTCCAATTATTGCCATCCCAATTTATTTATGCATTGACTGTTCTTGGAAACAGTTATATATAAAATCAAACATTTTCACTTTTTGTAGGGGAACATTGCATACAAAGAGAAGCAGTGGCAGAAAGCCATAAATTTGTACTCTGAAGCAATCAAGCTTAATGGGAGAAATGCAACATATTATAGTAACAGGGCTGCTGCATATCTGGAGTTAACGAAGTATGTTCTCAACCTGTAAACTTATGTCTATTCTTTTTGAGAACATATTTTCCTTCATAAATCATAATTTTTGACAAATACATTTGTTTTGTCCAGCTTTGTTCTCGCTGAGGCAGATTGTACCACTGCCATCGCCCTTGATAAAAGGGTCAGTTTATGAGACCCTGTTCCTCATTTGAGGCTGCATATAATATTTCATTGTCTGAAATCTTGCTTGTGCAACTACTGGCTTTTATTTTGTCATGCATAAATAACTGTCTATATTCTGTTTTTAGAATGTAAAGGCCTATCTAAGAAGAGGAACAGCAAGGGACATGCTTGGTTATTACAAGGATGCTCTTGAAGGTAGTGTTATTTAAATTTTAAAATTTCTAAGGCTATATTTTTGGGAGATCTCTTATGAATTTTGCAGTCTGTTTCATTGATTAAAAACTTGTTTTCAGCTTGGGGAAGTTCAGCGAGTGAACTCCACTTGCCCAGCTCTGAATCTTATAATTGGAAGGCTCCTATGTACCGAAGTTTTGGGTTACATATAAGTTTTTTTCTCTTGTTTTGACTGATAAACGGCAATTTCTGATGTGGTGAGAATGTGGCTTGACATGGTTACAAGCTGGGCTCAAATCCTATAGGAAACACTATTTGGGGAAAAAAAGAAACTGAATATGTTTTGTCCTTGTTATTTTCAGTTAACTTCTAAAGTCTGAGAGATTGGAGTTGCTAGATGCTGTTTTATTTTCTATGTTATGATGTAATTACAAGTGTGACCTGCTGTGTTTCTAATCATTTCATGTGCTTCATGTGCAATATCTTGTTCACTTTTTATTACATTTTTAGTCTCGAATATTAGTAGTGTATATGTCCTGTTACTATTTTTTGGGGTATTTTTGTTTTCCATTGTGCAGATTTCAGACATGCACTTGTTCTAGAACCAACCAACAAGATGGCAACTCAAGCCTCCAATAGATTGAAGAAGTTATTTGAGTAGAGACCTGGGGGATAAAAATTATTAGATAGCAGGAAGATGGGAGAGTCGACATTCCTACACTGCTTTATACAATGGAAGGCAATCGATTGGCTTCTTTAGTACGGGCTTGTGCTGGTAAGATACATGTTGCTTGGTAAAATGCATGTGGTTCAGTTCGAGATTGGGAGATTCCCAGATCCCTAATTAAGGCTTCTGCAACTCTGATTTTGCATGCTATATCAGAGGAGTTTTAAGACCTTTCAATTTTGTCGGCTTTCAGCTCGAAATTGTATAATTGGCCTCAGCTTGTATTTACTTGGGAGGAAATTTTTGATAGCTGGCTGTCTTTGAGGATCTTCATGAATTTTCTTAATTTTGGTTGCTTAAAAAGTTTTTGCTTTCAAGAGTGTTAGTATATTCCAGACGCCTGGTATATTTCTCTGTAAAATGGGTTTATGTAATAATTTTTGGATGATAGTACGACATTGATCAGTAATGATTAATTATTAAAATTTCATGGATAGTGGAATGAGAGACACTTGGTTGCACATCACAATTCCAATTTGTTCCGAGGAACCCTAATCTCCGTTGGGTTTTCTTCAAAATTTGAGAAAAAGCAATATTTTGCTTCTTTTTGTTATTTCAAGTTTTTGTAGGGTTTTGAGGATGGGCTTGTGGCTAGTAGTTAGGCACATTCTGGGAACTCATGTGCAAGTTTTGGGTGGTCCCAGCCCAACTTGTGCAGGTGCTTCTTTTTGGTTTGTTTTGTGGGGTTTTTGAAAGGAATCCTTTCTTTCCATGTGCTGGCTCGGAATTTTGAAATGGTCTTCTCCATTTCCAGATTGGACTTAATTATATATGAAAATTATGTTCTTTTCTATATAAATTTTTTTTTTGTACTTGTCAAGGTGGTCCCAAGCGAGTTAAGCTGGATAGGAGAGGGTTCATCTACGCCGAGTGTCCAAAAGTTTGCAGTGCAGTCAAGTTTTAAGATGTTTTTCCTCATCTCTCTTTCTGAAAATTTACAGAGCAATCAGTTTTAAGATGGTTTCCCTACTTTTTTAGGGAACCTTTTTCTGCTTTTCCTACAACATGGAAGTTCTATTTTTCCTTTTATCCAACCATCCATTTTGAATAAAGGAGATTGTTCATGTTTCTAGAATATTTTATTTTTAATTACTTTTTTTATAAATTATTTTGACGTGGACTTTTGGATGTCTATTCCTCTATTAAGCTTGTATTTGTAAAAAAAACATAAAAGAAAATATTTTCAATAAAATAAAATGATCAAAATATCTTGAAAAGTTTTAAGGCACTTATTAAATTTCATATTCATACAATTTGTATAAAGAAAATTGAAAATAAATTACTTTGAGACGTCGGATCTTAAGATCAAATGGTGAATGGTTCTCTTGATTAAAATTGGACGGTTAGATAGTAGGAAGATAGAACTTTTATGTTCCAAAGAAATATAAAAGCCTTTTCCGTAAAATTTTGCTCCTCTCACTCTCTCTCCTCTCTCTCTCTCTCTCTCTGTAGGCAGCCAAATTTTAGAATGCTGTATGCATCATCATCATAGCAATTGTGGTACAGCGATGGACAGGTACCCTTGTACTCCCCTGTTCGTTGGCAGTGTCTTGCAGTAAAAAATGACGCTGAAAAAAAAAAAAAAAAAAAAAGAAAGAATAAAAATAAATAAAAATAAAAAATAAAAATAAAAATGAGATCTCAAGTAGTGAATCAGGAAGCATCTTTTTGGGGAATCAAAGCGTCTCATGATGCTTTTCTTCCTATTTTGGAGTGTCTCTGTTATGAATCCGAGGGTGGTCCAACACCATATCAAGTGACGCTTTGCATGTTCTGAGCAGATTGGGAGCCACCCCAGGGTCTGTTGCGTCCTTTAAGGAGTACAACACCTTTTGAGTTAAAAGTTTATTTTACTGTGGTTTGCAAGTTTGTGTTGTCACCTTCTGTTTTCTGTGTTGGTGGTTTATTTATTTGACTTTGAAATTTTCCCAATTGATCCACTAATATCATAGTATTAAATGAATGTTTCACTACCTGCAATTCTTAGAACAGTAATTTTAAAATCCTGTATGGTTTCCTCGATCAACCCTCCAAGGTACCGATCTTAGGCAGGGGTAAAAAATAATACAATAGTTGGAAACAAAAAATTCTAAAATTAAATTTGGTGGGAATGACCTGGTTCTCGGACTTGGATTTTTGATAGTATTATCCAGTAGATCCGGACGATTCCCTCCAAACCAGGGTACAATTGTGGTGGCCCTTATGGAACTCCATTGCGTTAAGGGATTTTTTTATCTCGATTGCCATTTCCTGAACGCCTTGGGAGACTTTGGAGATTTTTTTGGTTTATATTGAATTGATATTTTCTTGTGGCGTTCATTTTTTTTTTTACATATTTGTAAAGGGTGCGGTTTGTATAGAGCTTAGGCTCTAAACAATCAAATTAAGGCCTACTTTCAAGTATTGTTGAGAAATGTGGTTTCAATACTAGACATTTTTGTGATAGCCTTAAAATATATTTTGATCTTTATTTATAAAGTTTAAAGCTTAAAAAATAGTGTAGATCAACAGATCTATGAAAACTTGAAAATCTTAAAAATTGATAGTTAAAAAATGCATTACAAAATACACTATTTTCAAAACTTGAAATCCATTTTTTCTTATCTCCATACATCTTGGTGATCAATTGGAGGATATTTGGCCATCAAAACAACTTATTCTAGTGAAAATTTCGTGGTGGGCTCCAATTTGATTGTTTAGTGGCTTGGCTCTATATAAAATTTTCCCATTTGTAAAAGGATAAAATTTTTATAAGGCCTAGACTTTATGATAACAAAATAAAATCTCACCTAAAATCGTCTTCCGGAAAGCACTTTCAACAATGGAAATCTCTATAATGGCTCTAAACTCACTTTCTAACACCGTCAATAAAATTCTAAACCCAAAAAGTTACAGATCTTATGGATCTATGATTACTTATTTTTTGGGTGAAATGAACAGTCTAGATAATTTATTACAACGTATATTATTTTTAGAGCTTGAAATCTAAAATGATCGACGTAAAGGTTTTCTAATGCTTGGCGGTTTTCAACGAGTTATGAGGTGACCATTGTCCATCATGATAATTATAACGGGTTTTTACAAAATACAAACGTAGTGCGTTGCGATAGACTTCCTTTTCTTTTTGAACAAAACGTTCAGTGTACTCTTTGTTATTACGTTCATAACGCCATTCGCATCCCTACTCTATTTACATCGTCCGCTGCTGTCCTAATACTATCAATAATTCTCTCATAAATCAGGTGGGGAGTTTGGTAACAGAATGTTTGTGACTTTGACAAACAACCATTTGCTGTGCTCCATATTTGACACGTGCAGAGGACTTGAAGGCAGCACCATACCTAATCCACCACGTGTGTTAAACAAAATAACGTTATTTAGTAGATGAATGTCCGAGATGGAAGATGAAGAGTCCAAGCATAAGATTTAAACTCTTTTTTTATTATTATTATCTTTTTCCTGTTGGCATGAGTTTTCATTTTCATTTATAATTGGGTTTGTTGGTTGGTTTTGCTATCTCCTAATCCTAAATGTAAGGAAGAGATGTAGAACTTGGACCCATGCCATTCTACCACCAATCATTATTAGTAGATAATATTATCCATTGAATTTCTGTTTAATTACCAAAAGAGTTTATGATCCCTTGGGATCATACTGCCTATTTACAGCCTCACCCATAACCTCTTCCACTTTAGGGATTGGGTGAAAATCTAATCGAATTGTGCCCGAATAAAATAACATTTCAAGATTGAACAGGGGCCATTCACGGATATGACTGAAGAACTCAAATCTAATTTCTGTTGAAACTAATGATCCAAAAGTGGATTCCAAAATTTGAAATCGAAAAAAATATCTAAGTAGCTAGGAATACTATAATAAATGAGCTCTTTTTTGTTTCCACGACATAGTAGGGTAGGTAGGTGTTGGACTAATCTTATCAAAATTGAGTTTTAGATTGAGAAAACCGAAATCTAAGAAAGGATCAAAGGTCATTTTCTTTTTACGTTTTCTGTTGGGAAGAAGAAGAATGGTCCCCTTTTTGCCTATAATTTTTTATTTTCTTTTTTTTTTTATTATTTACTACCTACACGAGGAGATAGGAGAATCGAACTCACATGGGGTTGAGACGATGAACCGAAATTTAGGGACCATATGCTAAGTCACCATCACTGACCCTGCCCCCGCCCTCTTACAATTTAAAGTCCACAAAAAAAA